GGTATCTTCTCGTTTTACGAGAACTGAGAATTCAGGGTCAGAATCGTTCTCTGCTGGTCAGCAGACTGGCGAGGTGTTCAGCCAGCAGCCTCTGCAGAACCAGTGGTGGCAGCAGAGGCAGCAGCAGCAGCAGGGAGATTTCAGCAGCTCTATACACATTGGCAGACAGACCAGCGTTGTTAATTCCCACCAGAAGACAGTCAGTCTTCAACCCACCTTCAGACAGATAGTTGATGTTCCATCTCCACTGCCTCCACTACCAGGGACGTCCTCCCATCTACCTCCACTCGCTACTTTCCATCGGCACACCAGCATAACAATTTCTCAACCTGCCATCGCCAACTCTGCTTCATCAACCAGTGGTTTCCCCTCAACCTTCAACTCCCAGGTATCTGACTTTCCATCGTCAACCTCAACCACCTCTCAACCTTTCTTCACCACTAGTTCCACTACTTTTGCCCCTTCAATCTCCACTACGACGTTCAGTGCCCCCACACCCACTCCTCAACTGATGGAAACCTTCACTCAGGACAGTGGAAGCTTCACCAGCTCAACCTCATCCTCGATACAAATCCTGGGCCCGGATGACCATCAGCAGTTCCAGTCGTCTTCTGCTGATATAGGATTCCAGGGGAAGCAGGACTTAACCCCACAGCAGATCGTCCAGGAAGGCCTCAGCGGACTGGATGAACTACCAGTGGGCAAAGACCTACAAGTCTCCAAGACTAACGACAATAACTTTATTCTTTCCCTACGTCAGGTCAGGTCTGACGGCTCTGTAGTACCTATGGATCTGGTCATAAATGTAGACGGTCGTCTAGTTTCAGCAGCGTCTCAGTTCGCCTCAGGAGCTAGGCAGAGAGCTGAGAGCAAGAAGATAGTGATCACATCAGCATTGATCTTCAAGAATTACCAAACAGCGTCAAGACATATGTGTCAGCATTGCAGGATCAAGTGCAGAGTAGATCCGCCAATTTAAGTCATTCTCACCAATTGGATGGTGCTTCTGAACCTTCCTCAGAACATTCACGTCTAAGTGGTATCAGTAATCAAGGTCCTAACTCCTTTGTCGTTAATGCGAAGTACACAAAATCTGTTCCTTCTTTAGAACTGGAAATTCCAAAGATATCAGTCATCCACCAGGTTAACGACAGTCATCAGTTTGAAGGTCAGTTGTCGACATTGCAAAAAGATCGTTTACCTAAGATGGAAGATGGTACAACGTTCATCTTGGAGAGTTCTCCAGGAGGCCACAGTGGAAACCATCTCAGGGAGATGAACACCTCCTTCCACACCCTGAATTCCCTGCTACAACATACGTCTCACTCCCTGCAGCACTCTGCGTCACCATCTCACCATCACATTCACAACACATTCATACAAACACAAAAAGATACATCACCTGCTCGTGAGTTCCTAGAATTTTCTCTTTTACCCGAAAGCACAGGAGCCCAGACTGGTGGTGTTTCTATCTCGAGTCCCAGCACTTTCAGTCAGTCTCAGAGCTTCACTCCATTACTTCAAGACACAACTGATCAAACGCCCACTTACTACACACAAACTCACCAACCCCCTTTAAGCTCGTTCTCCGGAAACCATCAGTTTCCAGGATATGGTTTCCCATCTTTAGAAACCTCTCAGAGTGAAATCCACCCAACAAGGCACATTAACAGAGCAAAGGAGCCAGTATTTATGCGAAATATAACGAGAAAATTCTTGCAAAGGGAACGAAATCCCCCACTAACCAGGCAGGTGTACTCAGAACTACCCCATGTGATACAGAATTATTTCATTCAGGTTCCTGATGGGCTGAGGGAGAGGAGTGATGATGCAAGTGACACAGACATGATGGGTAGTGCTTCCCATCAGATACCCACGTACGGGAACGTAGATGGAGTGGAGACTGAGGAGGAACTTACAGATGTAGAGGAGAGACTGAAGAATCACAGGATGAGTCCGGTTTCATCTCATTACAGTTTGCTTCAGACGACAACCTTAAAGCCAGTGAGTGTATTGCCTCCTGACTCGCTTCTGGGATCACTCATAGATCGAACCTACAATCCACTCCGAGGTAAAAGGAAGCAGGAATCACTCTCAGTGTCTGAAACTAGGATAAGAACTAGGAACACAAGTTCTGAGGCCAGAAAAAGGAAGACCAGGGACACAGGTTCTGTGATCAGAACAAGGAGGACTAGAGACACAGGTACTGTGATCAGGACAAGAACCAGGGACACAGGCTCTGTGATCAGAACAAGGAGAACTAGGGACACAGGTACTTTGACCAGGACTTGGACGACCCGGGACACACCACTTCACCTAGTCCATAAGATTGTTGACATCCAGAGAACAGAGTTTTTAAAAGAACTAAAATCTAAAAGGCTGACCAACTCGACTGACCATCCAAAGAGCATCACGACAGTGACTGTCTCAGACACGATCCTCAGCAGTGATACTACAGCAGACACCAACTCCAGCAGAGTAGGCAAAGCAGCAGGGCCCAGCACTACTGTATCAGGGAGTGATCCCATCAGAATCGACACTACAGTAGGGACCAACCCCAACAGAATCGGCCACGCTTCAAGGATCGGCTCCAAGGACCAACTTGAGTCCTCAAACAGTGAGAAAAAGGACGTTCACGTCAACATTCACCTGAATTTCGCCACTGAGGCACAGACTGGTACTAATGCCCTCAACAACCTGGTCATATCAGGTGACCATCAGAGTCCATACAATGACGAGATCAATCCTTCTCATTATTATACAATGTCATTCAACCAAGGTCGTGATTATTTTGGTGCTTTGAATTATAGTAGAGAGAAGAACCTGCTGGCCAGTCCTCGTGGACAGAGTCAGTACCTGTGGACACCTGGTCCACCAAGCAGTAAACTGACAGGTCTCACTTCTAGATGGTCCTCTTCTCTAGATCCCAGTCACAAAATTAGAAAAGCCTTCCCTGCTGACTCCATTATAAAGAGCTCTATACGCATTCCAAAGAGTCATCGTACGCCAGTAACGCAAGGATATGTCACTGATTTGCCCGTGAATCAGAGGGCTTACGTGATTAGCCAGCCCACGAGCAGACCAGAGTGCGTATCGTGCCTATCAGACACCTGGGTACCACCATGGCTGAGCCCATCACTCAGATCTTCCAGACATACTGCCCTCAAAAACACCCCCACCAGGGGTAAGGTCACCTTCACACACAAAGGTCACAGGACTGTCATCATTCCTTCAGCTGTGACAGCCTACAGGAGGTCACTCCCACGACCTCAGCAGCCTTCCAGGATTCACTTTCCAGGGCAATTATCTTCACGTACCATCGTCAGCACCTCCTTCAGGACGTCGACCAGGCTGCCACGGACACTGAAGGAGTTCATCATGTCACCTACTCCTAGCCCAGGAGTAATCATCCCTCACCAGAGAGATAAATCATCCTGGAAGTTCTGAGACATACTTGTGAGTATTGTTAGAGAAAACATCAGTGTAACCTGATCTTCAGCCCATGGAAGAGGGAGACAGAGAGAGAGAGAGAGAAAGAGAGAGACAGAGAGACAGAAAGAGAGAGAGAGAGATAACTAGAATCCCTGATAAAGTTGTTTATTTCACTTGCGTTCAATAACACAGGATGCAGAAAGAAATGTCATCCGTTCCTAAGGCTTTCTAATCTAGTTCAGTGTTGACACTCAGACTCTGGGCAACTCTTGCTAGATCACGTTTTTGCCTCTCACACTCAGCATTGATCTCAGCCCTGTGTTTATGTATTGTTTTGTAACTGTCCATGTCTTTATAAATAACTCATTACAGTTGTAACTAGATATAACTTGTAAATAGTTCATTACCACTAACTTGTTGAGGTACAGTTCCTGGACCCATTATGTGTCTGTGTAATGTTGAGGTACAGTCCCTGGACCCATTATGTGTCTGTGTAATGTTGACGTGCAGTCCCTGGACCCATTATGTATCTGTGTAATGTTGAGGTACAGTCCCTGGGCCCATTATGTGTCTGTGTAATGTTGACGTACAGTCCCTGGACCCATTATGTGTCTGTGTAATGTTGAGGTACAGTCCCCGGACCCATTATGTACCTCTGTAATGTTGATGTACAGTCCTTGGACCCATTATGTACCTCTGTAATGTTAATGTACAGTTCCTGGACCCATTATGTGCCCTGCAATGTTAAGGTACCATGCCGTCTGAGACCGGGGCAGAGGTACGAACGTGCACATGCGCATCCCGTGATGTCACACAACAGTCACAGGCCTAAAAGGGATCTCCTATCTAAAGCACATGGATGATACTATATGCTATGCTATATAACACAGGGATCAGCAACTATACTGACAAAATAGGTACCTGGGTGTTAGTGGACTGGTGTGGGTCGCATCCTGGGTGTTAGTGGACTGGTGTGGGTCACATCCCTGGGTGTCAGTGGACTGGTGTGGGTCGCATCCTGGGTGTTAGTGGACTGGTGTGGGTCGCATCGTGGGTGTTAGTGGACTGGTGTGGGTCGCATCCTGGGTGTTAGTGGACTGGTGTGGGTCACATCCCTGGGTGTTAGTGGACTGGTGTGGGTCGCATCCTGGGTGTTAGTGGACTGGTGTGGGTCACATCCTGGGTGTTAGTGGACTGATGTGGGTCGCATCTTGGGACAAAACTGACCTAATTTGCGGGAAATGCTCAGCATAACAAGCAACTTTCTATATAGTAGTATGTCACTGATGTCAGATATGGTCTGTATACCTTGTACATGTACTGGTAGTAAATAATGATATTATTATTATTATTATTATTATTATTATTATTATTATTATTATTATTATTATTATTATTATTATTATTATATAGGTATGTGCTGCATAATAAAAATATTAAGGTAACCTCAATGTTAAACGCCAGTAGGTCTACTGAGACGCTACACTGACACATGTCAACAGGGACAACCGAGACTCGAACCCAGATTTTTTTTACAGGCTTACTCATTAGAATTCAAAACAATAAAACAAATTAATTGATTTTTTTATTTCAGTAAAACATAAACATTGAGATTCACCAAAGCGTCTCATAAAACAGTCAGTTGTTATTCTAACACTGGAGCTTAAGCCCGTTAGTTCTGCTTTATAGGGCCTTCCTGATCCAAGACCGTCACACTATACCGTACATTTTGTGTTATATATATCTTATATGTGCCTTGCCACAGTGTATTGCAAAGTGTAAAGTGGGCTGCAACATTGCTGCCCAAACTGCCGTGCCAGGGGCAGGTTGAACAGTGATATATAAGCTCGCTAGACAGAGATATGCTGAGGAGGAGAGTTTATACGGTGCACGGCTCTCATGGTCCTATAAAGTAACAACAATAACAATGGCCTTTCTTTGTTCTAACGTTGTATTTTTAATGTAAAAACAAGAGGAATTTCCTTAAAAAATGCTTGAAAATTATTTAAAAAAGCAAAGAATTATTAGAAATATCAGGCAACAATGTCCAGATAGATTCAACACACTACTCTGAGTACACTATGTGTATAGTACACATACCAGTGTGTATAATACACATACACAATGTGTATACACTTACAAATTTGTACAATACAGATATACTAACAAAGATGTCAACCAGTATACAGAATGAAGTGTAGAGGCAGGACGAAGTGGCAAGTTCCGGAAGATAATGAGGAAGTGGAGGATAACTCTGACTCCTTGGATCAAGAACCCTTCCTGGCATCAAGGTCCCTCCCTCCTTCCTGTACCTTCAAGACACATGTAGCAGTCAACATCTGCTATGATGTCTGGTTTATGTCAGTGGTACATGTCAGTGGTACATGTCAGTGGTACATGTCAGTGGTATATGTCAGTGGTACATGTCAGTGGTATATGTCAGTGGTACATGTCAGTGGTACATGTCAGTGGTACATGTCAGTGGTACATGTCAGTGGTACATGTCAGTGGTATATGTCAGTGGTACATGTCAGTGGTACATGTCAGTGGTACATGTCAGTGGTACATGTCAGTGGTACATGTCAGTAGTACATGTCAGTGGTATATGTCAGTGGTACATGTCAGTGGTACATGTCAGTGGTACATGTCAGTAGTACATGTCAGTGGTACATGTCAGTGGTGCATGTCAGTGGTACATGTCAGTGGTGCATGTCGGTGGTACATGTCAGTGGTATATGTCAGTGGTACATGTCAGTGGTACATGTCAGTGGTACATGTCAGTGGAACATGTCAGTGGTACATGTCAGTGGTACATGTCAGTGGTACATGTCAGTGGAATATGTCAGTGGTACATGTCAGTGGTATATGTCAGTGGTACATGTCAGTGGTACATGTCAGTGGTACATGTCAGTGGTACATGTCAGTGGTACATGTCAGTGGTATATGTCAGTGGTACATGTCAGTGGTACATGTCAGTGGTACATGTCAGTGGTACATGTCAGTGGTACATGTCAGTAGTACATGTCAGTGGTATATGTCAGTGGTACATGTCAGTGGTACATGTCAGTGGTACATGTCAGTAGTACATGTCAGTGGTACATGTCAGTGGTGCATGTCAGTGGTACATGTCAGTGGTGCATGTCGGTGGTACATGTCAGTGGTATATGTCAGTGGTACATGTCAGTGGTACATGTCAGTGGTACATGTCAGTGGAACATGTCAGTGGTACATGTCAGTGGTACATGTTAGTGGTACATGTCAGTGGTTCATGTCAGTGGTTCATGTCAGTGGTTCATGCCAGTGGTACATGTCAGTGGTGCATGTCGGTGGTACATGTCGGTGGTACATGTCAGTGAGACATGTCAGTGGTACATGTCAGTGGTACATGTCAGTGGAACATGTCAGTGGTGCATGTCGGTGGTACATGTCGGTGGTACATGTCGGTGGTACATGTCGGTGGTACATGTCAGTGGTACATGTCGGTGGTACATGTCAGTGGTTCATGTCAGTGGTTCATGTCAGTGGTTCATGCCAGTGGTTCAGGTTTGACCAGTCTGCACCAGAAAAGAGGCAGGCCAGAGGGTAAGTCACGAATAAACAACATAGCAGGTCTGTTGACCATGAAGGTCACTGCACTTGCAACACGGTTGATAGACACTGATGTTGCAGAAGCAGCCTTGGTGCCGACTTCCGTCACTTCCACCACAGTTTCGTGGATCACGTCGTCGACCCAGACGTGTTCAGAGGCTGTCAGTCTTCCGAAGTCAGCTTTAACGTTGTCGAAGATAGAGCTGACACGCAAAGCTTTGAGAACTTCTTTGAGGCTAAGCTTATAGCTGAGACGCATTCTTGGTAGACTTACACTGACTGAAGTTTCAACCATATCTCTGATGTAATTATTGAGGCTAGTTGCGTCTCTTATACGAAGTTCAAGTTCCTGTAAGTTAGAACTTACCGGGCCATGAGACATTAATATATACATAGAAAACTTACCACCCACATACGGAAGTTCAACCATGTGGGCATTAAGGTCTGGTATGTCTATGTAGCGTAAGGTCATGGCTGCTCGCATCATGGGAACCTGGATTATTTCACTTCCTGTTTGGAAAGGTCCATTAATAGTCAGGTCAGGTATAAAAGGGAACTCCCAGATACCGTTAAAGAAGAGAGTGTTTACTGCCACAAACTCTGTCTGAGGGCTGAGAGGCTGGCCCAGGAGCTGTGAAATCATACCTGAAGTCTTGTTCTTCACCCAGTCATTGATGGTGTTCGTGGCAGCCACGGAATTCTTCTCGAAGTCCAAAACACGAACCTGAGCGGCGTAAACCTCTCTGACACTCCTGCTAAAGTCATACAAGACATGGACTCCTTTCCTGACGAAAATACCGTTGGCTATATTAAGTGTAACTCCCTGGGAGGATTGAATAATAGAGTCAATCAACTGCTTGAAGTTACTATGGATTGATGCCTCGTCAATCCCAGGTGGAAGACCAAGAGCTGTATATATCTGCTGGTAAGAGATACCAGAAGTTCCCAGCATCAACACAGACAAGAGAGACGTTATACTCAGAGGTGAGAAGGTCACTGTAGTTGTATCTCTCATTTCTGACGACAGTTCCAGCGCCATCTGTAAATAATATAATAGTGATTACTTTTTTTACTATACCAGTAAGTGGATATGGAAATTTATTGATGGACAAGAAGTTAAGAAGGAGGTTGGGGGGGGAGGGTTAGAACATTTGTCCAGGGGTAAGACAGATTCGCTCTGTAGACCTCGACCTGTACAGTCGCAGCAGCTCTGACTCTCATCTTTAGTCTCCCTACGATCCCCATTGGGGAGGGGAACCTTTACCTTCATTGCTATCGTCTTGATCTTTTCACAACGAGCTACTCAAATCGTAAAATAAGCTAACCTAAGCTCACTCGTACTTCGTAAACTACTACACAGAATGTTAAACAGGTGGTCAGTACTTAGGTTTGATCATCAGGAAAGACAGATAAACTGACCTTAAGAAAAATATACATATATTCTACATAATATATGTAACACAAAACCTGCCTTCAACATATTTCACATATTACAAAATAACACACTAGTACACTACTAGTAGTTAATTAAACTTAGGCCAAATGAATATTACACATACCACGACAGTGGGACTCCATACCTTCCTTTGTCGTCTTCCAGTCTGAAGTTAAACAACTGTTAGTTCTGTACTTGCCACAACGCACACAAACCCCACATAAATACTAGGACCATGGTCATGCCAGGGCCAACTTAAGAGTACAATAAAATCACAAAAACAACCTAGGGCCTAAGCATTACAACAAAAAACATCACACGCTGACTCCAGGACATCTTTCCAGCAACTTCTAGTCAATCGCAGTTGATGGTCTAGTACCTGTCCAACTGGCCGTGTGAAATACGTGTCCACTTAAGTGCTGACTGCCTATTACATGTCCACCCAAAACATTGACATTATTTATACATTTATCAAGCACTTTTTACTGAAAATATTAACTTCTTATTTTATATACAAAACAACCAAGTCATCAATATAACACCTCACTCCAGCTAGGCTACATATACCTTCCAGCACCCTGTGTTGACAACATAACTTCCAGCACCCTGTGTTGAAAACATAACTTCCAGCACCCTGTCTTGACAACATAACTTCCAGCTCCCTGTCTTGACAACAGGCTGGAGCATTACAAAGCCCAAAGAAAGAAGCCTGTATTGGAAAAGCCCATCTAGTATTACAAAAGCAAAGCTGTCACTGAGTAATGCCCAGTCACTCTCGCTCGGTACTACTAAATTATTGTCAAGTAGGAATTTCAGCTCCTCCATATTTGCTTCCTGTCGTTCTTTCATTCAATAAGGGTCCTGCCAAATTGGTTCACCTTCCCCTACATCTATATCATCAGCCTTTAAATTACTTACCTTAGGGGTATCTCCAACAAGTCCTCAAAATTTGGGAGAAGCTGAACCATCTCCACAATCCTGTCCTTGCTGAGGTCTAACATACATTGTGCAGGGTCCTTTAACAAGGCCTGGATCACCTACTTTATTAACACTCGCCACACCAGGGGTGTGAATTCTATAATTTTGGTCAGAAATCTATTTCACCCCCTTGTAGGGCCCACTGTACTTTTAAGGCATTACCAGGCATTGCTCCATTACCAGCACCTCTCCAGCTTCAAGAGCGCGGTCCAAGTCTCTTCATCTTGGTGTGGCTAGTGTGCAGGTTCTCAAGATTTCAGCCATTTCATATGGGCCAAACTGTCTCTGAAAGTGAGAAAATGATCCAAGGGAGAAGCATCACTTGCTGACCATAGATCAGTTCGAAGAGACTATAGAGTAATGATTCCTGAGTTGACTCTACGATAAATAAAAGAAGGGAAATACGTTCATCGCAGTCCGTCTGGTACTGGGAACAATAAGCATCTGGTGAGACCGCTCCACCACCTCCTGACTCACCTAATTGTGGTTGCAGGGGTCGAGACTCAGCTCCTGGCCCTGAGTGATACGCTGTGGAGGTTGTCATTTTAATGTTAAATTCTCCCAAAACAAAATCTTATCTTACAAGCACAGCACAGAGGTTAAACTGATCTTACTTCTTGAACAAGATCAGCAAGTAGTGTAGACGATGCTGGTCTCTGAGGTGTAGACGGGAGTGTAGCAGAGGTGTCAGGTAGTGTTGAGACACAGCACCAGGCTAACACCAGCACCAGCACCAGCACTCCAGTACGCATCCTGAACTACCTGTGTGGAGAATGTTACTGTATTGAAGGCACCAGTGTATATACATACATACATACACACACACACACACATATTATATATATATATATATATATATATATATATATATTTATATATATATATATATATATATATATATATATATATATATATATATATATATATACATATATAGGAAATATCTTTGAAGAATTGAGACACTTATGCAAAATAAAGATTCCCATGTGTTGCATAAGTGTCTCAATTCTTCAACTTGTCGGTTTTCAAAACCATTCATCACAGGAAATATCTTTACCTTACACACACACAGACACACACACAGACACACACACACACACACACACAGTAGAGACAGGAAGGACTCTGGGGGGACAGACCAGATGGGGACACCAGCAAGGAATACACCAACATGTGTTGGACGACATACATACAGATGAGGAGGAGGTGAAGAAACTGCTAAGGGACATCGATACGTCAAAGGCAATGGGACCGGATAACATCTCCCCGTGGGTCCTTAGAGAGGGAGCAGATATGTTGTGCATGCCACTTACCACAATCTTCAACACGTCCCTGGAAACTGGGCAACTACCTGAGGTATGGAAGACGGCAAATGTAGTTCCCATTTTTAAAAAAGGAGACAGAAAAGAGGCACTAAACTATAGACCTGTGTCACTGACGTGTATAGTATGCAAAGTTATGGAGAAGATTATCAGGAGGAGAGTGGTGGAGCACCTGGAATGGAACAAGAGTATAAATGCCAACCAGCACGGATTCATGGAAGGCAAATCCTGTGTCACAAACCTTCTGGAGTTTTATGATAAAATAACAGAAGACACGAGAGAGAGGGTTGGGTTGATTGCATCTTCTTGGACTGCAAGAAGGCCTTTGGCACAGTTCCTCACAAGAGATTAGTGCAGAAGCTAGAGCATCAGGCGCATATAACAGGAAGGGCACTGCAATGGATCAGAGAATACCTGACAGGGAGGCAACAACGAGTCATGGTACGTAATGATGTATCACAGTGGGCACCTGTGACGAGTGGGGTCCCACAGGGGTCGGTCCTAGGACCAGTGCTATTTTTGGTATATGTGAACGACATGATGGAAAGGTTAGACTCAGAAGTGTCCCTGTTTGCAGATGATGTGAAGTTAATGAGGAGAATTAAATCTGATGAGGACCAGGCAGGACTTCAAAGAGACCTGGACAGACTGGACACCTGGTCTAGCAAATGGCTTCTCGAATTTAATCCTGCCAAATGCAAAGTCATGAAGATAGGGGAAGGGCACAGAAGACCACAGAAAGAGTATAGGCTAGGTGGCCAAAGACTGCAAACCTCACTCAAGGAGAAAGATCTTGGGGTGAGTATAACACCGAGCATGTCTCCGGAAGCACACATCAATCAGATAACTGCTGCAGCATATGGGCGCCTGGCAAACCTGAGAACAGCATTCCGATACCTTAGTAAGGAATTGTTCAAGACACTGTACACCGTGTATGTCAGGCCCATACTGGAGTGTGCAGCACCTGTTTGGAACCTGCACTTGATAAAGCACGTCAAGAAACTAGAGAAAGTACAAAGGTTTGCGACAAGGTTAGTTCCAGAGCTAAGGGGAATGTCCTATGAAGAAAGATTAAGGGAAATCGGCCTGACGACACTGGCGGACAGGAGGGTTAGGGGAGACATGATAACGACATATAAAATACTGCGTGGAATAGACAAGGTGGACAAAGACAGGATGTTCCAGGGAGGGGACACAGAAACAAGAGGCCACAATTGGAAGTTGAAGACACAAATGAGTCAGAGAGATATTAGGAAGTATTTTTCAGTCATGAGTTTTTAGGCAGTGGAATAGCTAGAAAAATGAAGTAGTGGAGGCAGGAACCATACACGTTTTAAGACGAGGTTTGATAAAGTCATGGAGCGGGGAGGAAAAGAGGGCCCAGTAGCAACCGGTAAAGGGGGCGGGGCCGGAGCTAAGACTCGACCACCCTGCAACCACAAATAGGTGAGTACAAATAGGTGAGTACGTACACACACACACACACACACACGTGAAGCAGTATCGCTAAATAGTGCTCCCAGGATTTAGCGTTCTAGTGGCTGTCCTAAGATATTATTAGCGGTCATCGTACGTGAGTGAATCAGTGAACATACCTACAAGAGTGTAATAGCTTTCAAGAGTGCGAATAATGTGATAAGATCAAGAATTTTACAATTTAAATTTGAATGAATGTTGAGTGAGGGAGAGTAGCAGTCAGCTGATCAGGCTACTGGCCGCAGTGTTGACACAAAATATACAAACAGTTAATTGTGTTAACGGTGTGATCTGAAATATTAACAAATACAGATATTGGTTGCTTATAGCAGCAGTGTAGTGATAAGGTCATAAACGAGTAATTAAGTAAGTACTGAAGGTAAGAAAAAATTAGTCAATCCCCAGATGTTGGTGTTGTGAAGGTAGCTAATATCATCAGACTTGTTATGACCATAATACTGTACTAAAGAAAAAAGAGTGAATACCAAGTCTTAAAACTTGAATGCATGATAAAGTTCCTGAAGGAGTTACAAAGTGAAGGAGTTGATAGCAGCCGACCAGCAGGAACCTCCATTGTTGTGCAGACGACATCACTTGCCTATTTGTGGTTAATTTTGGTTAGTGTCTAAAGTCTCAGTGTCTCGCCCTGCTGGTTGTTGCTATACCATCTCTCTCTCCCTATTTCAGTACCAGCAGATAGATAGTGGTTTGTAAATTATCTAAATATCGCCAGGTAAACTCCAGAAGAGTTGTGTAGCCTAGTGAACCCCCCCCCCCGTGTAGTATGTGACCCCCTCTGACAGTGTAGCCTAGTGACCCCCCTGACAGTGTAGCCTAGTGACCCCCTGACAGTGTAGCCTAGTGAACCCCCCCTGACAGTGTAGCCTAGTGAACCCCCCCTGACTGTAGCCTAGTGAACCCCCCGGGCAGTGTAGCCTAGTGACTCCCCCTGTTTTAGCCTAGTGACCCCCCCGACAGTGTAGCCTAGTGAACCCCCTGATGTAGCCTAGTGACCCCCTGACAGTGTTAGCCTAGTGAACCCCCCCCGACTGTAGCCTAGTGACCCCTGAGAGTGTTTGCCTAGTGAACCCCCCTGACAGTGTAGCCTAGTGACCCCCTGACTGTAGCCCAGTGACCCCCTGACAGTTTTGCCTAGTGCCCCCCCTGAGAGTATAGCCTAGTGAACCCCCAAAACAGTGTAGCCCAGTGACCCCCCTGACATTGTAGCCTAGTGAACCCCCCTGACAGTGTAGCCTAGTGACCCCCATGACTGTAGCCTAGGACCCCCTGACAGTGTAGCCCAGTGAACCCCCTGGAGGTAGCCCAGTGACCCCCCCCCATGTAGCCTGTGACCCCCCCCACGTGTAGCCAGTGCCCCCCCTGAGAGTTAGCCTATGAACCCCCCTGACAGTGTAGCTAGGAACCCCCCCCTGCGTGTGCCCAGTGAACCCACACTGACAGTGTAGCCCAGGACCCCTCCTGACAGTGTAGCCCAGTGACCCCCCTGCAGGTAGCTACCCCGTTTTGTGTTTCGGGACTGGAAAACCCCGTTTTTGGGTTGCAGGGGGGAATGTACCCCCCCGTGTGTTTTCAGGGGATGAACCCCGTTGTGTGTTGCCGGGGGTGATACCCGTTTTGTGTTTTCAGGGGCTGATAACCCCATTGGTTTGGCCGGGGATGATACCCCGTTGTGGTTTCTGCAGGGGAATTGGGGGCCCCGGGGTGTTTTTTCGGGGATTGGGTACCCAGTTGTGTGTTGGGAGGGGGCTAAAAACCCCTTGTGTTTTGCAGGGGATGATACCCCGTTGTGTGTTGAAGGGGGCTGAAACCTGTGGTGGGTTTCAGGGGGGGGTTTCCCAGTTTTTGTGTGCAAGGGGGTGATACCCCGTTGTGGTTGCAGGGGAACTGTAACCAAATGGGGTTGGGTTTCGGGGACTGATAAACCCCCCTTTTGTGTTTTTTTGGGGATGAAACCCCGGTTTTGTGTTGCAGGGAATGATACCCCTTGTTTTTTTCAGGGGACTGATACCCCTTGTGTGTTGCAGGGGGGGCTGGAACCCCTTTGTGTTTGAGGGGGGGATACCCAGGTTTTTTTTGCAGGGAGGGGATTTTTCCCCGTTGGGGTTTGCGGGGGGGCTGTACCCAAGTTGGTGTTGAGGGGGTGGGTAAACCCGTTGTGTGTTGCGGGGGTCTACCCAGTTTTTGGTGTTGCCCGGGACTGGATAACCCCGTTGTGTGTTGCAGGGGGCCAAAACCCCGTTTTGTTTTGGGGGGGGGGGGGTCCCGTTTGTTGTTGAGGGGAAAAGTACCCGTTGTGTGTTGGGAGGGGATGATAACCCCTTGTATGGGTTTTAGGGGGCTGGGAGAGATTGCCCGTTTTGGCCCGATGCGTATTCAGTCGTGCAAGGTACAGGGATTCCCCAAAATGGCGCCCCGGATCCCCCGGTCCCAGGAACGGGGCCCTTTTAGGCAGCATTTAAAATTCCCTTTAGGTGTTTTTTTCATGCCAGGCCCCGGGGATGGCCCTTAAAGAAGCCGGGGGGGCACAGGGGAGGGTTCCGGGTGCTATAAGTGCCCCAAAAAAGTGCCAAAACAACCACCTTTCCCCCGGCAATTTCCCCGGGGACCCTGGGGAATCTGGTATTTCTCGTTTTTTGGAACGGGGAATTCAGGGAGAATCGGGTTTAAAGGCCCCGGCAGGGACTGGGGGAGGTGTTCACCAGCGGCCCCTGCAAACAGTGGTGGGAGCAAAGGGAGCAGACAGCCGGGAGATTTTTTTAGTTATAAATTGGGGAGGACAGACCCGCGTTGTTAATTCCCACCAAAGGGAAGGGAAATCTTCCCAACCCCCTTCAGGAAAATAAATTGGGTGTTCCCTTTCCCCCTTTCCTCCAAAAACCAGGGACGTCCCCCCCATCTACCTCCAAATCGCTACTTCCCCGGACACCCGCATAA